TATCCACTTGCACTTCAACATTCACACTGGGTCTCTTCACGAAAGCTGCAGCCGAATCCAGCACACTTTCGGGCGACTTCATCGACACACCGGTCACACTATCCACAACACACACTCGTTCCTTCGTTGTCTGCACACAGGCTTCCAATGTTTGCACGGGTTTCGGTGGCTCGTGGACCGGAACAACCGGTGTCTCTGGTTTCACTGGTGCATGCATCTCACTCCAAGAGTCCACCATACACAATTTGGCAGGTTTAGCTTGTGACATCGCATCGGTGCGTTTCAACGACAAATGAGCAGCACCGTCGAGCAGAGATTTGTGTGGCTCGGTCTGTGCACTCACGTCAGATGAGGAGACTGGTACTGTGTCGATTTGTTGGTCGACAGTGGAACGTTTCACAAACTGTGTGGCTTCCACTAGCGATACTTTGCGAACAGGCTCAGGTGTGGGTAACTCCAATGAGACGGTCTCGGTGACGAGAGGGGCTTTGACGTGAACTCTGGGTGTGTGAACAATCACATGCTGACTGGATTCTGCGACGTGTGCTGTGACGGCGGTCGCTTGTGTGGCAGTCTCAGTCAGATGACGTGGTGGTGGCTGCTTGACAGGCGTCTCTGCGTAGGAGGCGCTCACTGACATCATATGGTCAGGCTTCATCCTCTTCAACTCTTTCTGATCCTGACCGGTCACAACTGGTCGTTCGGCTTGAGTCACCTGCACTTCTCGCTCTGTTACTCCGACTGCTTCCGTCAGAGTGTGGCTGCTAGTCTGTTGCACCTGGTAGCTGGAGCTCATGACACGCGTGGCCACACGCATTCCGAACTGCATTCCAACGTCATGCGTGACCGGCTTGTCGACCTTCGTGGCTTTGGATAATGTTGACTCGACATAGGGTGCTGGTGTCACATGTGTCACCAGTTCACTGGTCGTCTGACAGAGAGTTGAGAACTTGCCGGTCTGCATGGCAACATTCGACGTTTTCACGGTCACAGGAACCGGTTCGATCTTGGGCTGAACGGTCTGACAAGCCGTCTCTTCGGTATTCACGTACCGATGTCCACAGCTGGTACACAGACTCTTCTCGACCGCCTTCCGTTCTAACTTGTGTGTGGTCAGACTGACGACAGGTGTGCTCACTCTATCCACTTGCACTTCAACATTCACACTGGGTCTCTTCACGAAAGCTGCAGCCGAATCCAGCACACTTTCGGGCGACTTCATCGACACACCGGTCACACTATCCACAACACACACTCGTTCCTTCGTTGTCTGCACACAGGCTTCCAATGTTTGCACGGGTTTCGGTGGCTCGTGGACCGGAACAACCGGTGTCTCTGGTTTCACTGGTGCATGCATCTCACTCCAAGAGTCCACCATACACAATTTGGCAGGTTTAGCTTGTGACATCGCATCGGTGCGTTTCAACGACAAATGAGCAGCACCGTCGAGCAGAGATTTGTGTGGCTCGGTCTGTGCACTCACGTCAGATGAGGAGACTGGTATTGTGTCGATTTGTTTGTCGACAGTGGAACGTTTCACAAACTGTGTGGCTTCCACTAGCGATACTTTGCGAACAGGCTCAGGTGTGGGTAACTCCAATGAGACGGTCTCGGTGACGAGAGGGGCTTTGACGTGAACTCTGGGTGTGTGAACAATCACATGCTGACTGGATTCTGCGACGTGTGCTGTGACGGCGGTCGCTTGTGTGGCAGTCTCAGTCAGATGACGTGGTGGTGGCTGCTTGACAGGCGTCTCTGCGTAGGAGGCGCTCACTGACATCATATGGTCAGGCTTCATCCTCTTCAACTCTTTCTGATCCTGACCGGTCACAACTGGTCGTTCGGCTTGAGTCACCTGCACTTCTCGCTCTGTTACTCCGACTGCTTCCGTCAGAGTGTGGCTGCTAGTCTGTTGCACCTGGTAGCTGGAGCTCATGACACGCGTGGCCACACGCATTCCGAACTGCATTCCAACATCATGCGTGACCGGCTTGTCGACCTTCGTGGCTTTGGATAATGTTGACTCGACATAGGGTGCTGGTGTCACATGTGTCACCAGTTCACTGGTCGTCTGACAGAGAGTTGAGAACTTGCCGGTCTGCATGGCAACATTCGACGTTTTCACGGTCACAGGAACCGGTTCGATCTTGGGCTGAACGGTCTGACAAGCCGTCTCTTCGGTATTCACGTACCGATGTCCACAGCTGGTACACAGACTCTTCTCGACCGCCTTCCGTTCTAACTTGTGTGTGGTCAGACTGACGACAGGTGTGCTCACTCTATCCACTTGCACTTCAACATTCACACTGGGTCTCTTCACGAAAGCTGCAGCCGAATCCAGCACACTTTCGGGCGACTTCATCGACACACCGGTCACACTATCCACAACACACACTCGTTCCTTCGTTGTCTGCACACAGGCTTCCAATGTTTGCACGGGTTTCGGTGGCTCGTGGACCGGAACAACCGGTGTCTCTGGTTTCACTGGTGCATGCATCTCACTCCAAGAGTCCACCATACACAATTTGGCAGGTTTAGCTTGTGACATCGCATCGGTGCGTTTCAACGACAAATGAGCAGCACCGTCGAGCAGAGATTTGTGTGGCTCGGTCTGTGCACTCACGTCAGATGAGGAGACTGGTACTGTGTCGATTTGTTTGTCGACAGTGGAACGTTTCACAAACTGTGTGGCTTCCACTAGCGATACTTTGCGAACAGGCTCAGGTGTGGGTAACTCCAATGAGACGGTCTCGGTGACGAGAGGGGCTTTGACGTGAACTCTGGGTGTGTGAACAATCACATGCTGACTGGATTCTGCGACGTGTGCTGTGACGGCGGTCGCTTGTGTGGCAGTCTCAGTCAGATGACGTGGTGGTGGCTGCTTGACAGGCGTCTCTGCGTAGGAGGCGCTCACTGACATCATATGGTCAGGCTTCATCCTCTTCAACTCTTTCTGATCCTGACTGGTCACAACTGGTCGTTCGGCTTGAGTCACCTGCACTTCTCGCTCTGTTACTCCGACTGCTTCCGTCAGAGTGTGGCTGCTAGTCTGTTGCACCTGGTAGCTGGAGCTCATGACACGCGTGGCCACACGCATTCCGAACTGCATTCCAACGTCATGCGTGACCGGCTTGTCGACCTTCGTGGCTATGGGTAAAGGTGGCTCGACATAGGGTGCTGGTGTCACATGTGTCACCAGTTCACTGGTCGTCTGACAGAGAGTTGAGAACTTGCTGGTCTGCATGGCAACATTCGACGTTTTCACGGTCACAGGAACCGGTTCGATCTTGGGCTGAACGGTCTGACAAGCCGTCTCTTCGGTATTCACGTACCGATGTCCACAGCTGGTACACAGACTCTTCTCGACCGCCTTCCGTTCTAACTTGTGTGTGGTCAGACTGACGACAGGTGTGCTCACTCTATCCACTTGCACTTCAACATTCACACTGGGTCTCTTCACGAAAGCTGCAGCCGAATCCAGCACACTTTCGGGCGACTTCATCGACACACCGGTCACACTATCCACAACACACACTCGTTCCTTCGTTGTCTGCACACAGGCTTCCAATGTTTGCACGGGTTTCGGTGGCTCGTGGACCGGAACAACCGGTGTCTCTGGTTTCACTGGTGCATGCATCTCACTCCAAGAGTCCACCATACACAATTTGGCAGGTTTAGCTTGTGACATCGCATCGGTGCGTTTCAACGACAAATGCGCAACACCGTCGAGCAGAGATTTGTGTGGCTCGGTCTGTGCACTCACGTCGGATGAGGAGACTGGTATTGTGTCGATTTGTTGGTCGACAGTGGAACGTTTCACAAACTGTGTGGCTTCCACTAGCGATACTTTGCGAACAGGCTCAGGTGTGGGTAACTCCAATGAGACGGTCTCGGTGACGAGAGGGGCTTTGACGTGAACTCTGGGTGTGTGAACAATCACATGCTGACTGGATTCTGCGACGTGTGCTGTGACGGCGGTCGCTTGTGTGGCAGTCTCAGTCAGATGACGTGGTGGTGGCTGCTTGACAGGCGTCTCTGCGTAGGAGGCGCTCACTGACATCATATGGTCAGGCTTCATCCTCTTCAACTCTTTCTGATCCTGACCGGTCACAACTGGTCGTTCGGCTTGAGTCACCTGCACTTCTCGCTCTGTTACTCCGACTGCTTCCGTCAGAGTGTGGCTGCTAGTCTGTTGCACCTGGTAGCTGGAGCTCATGACACGCGTGGCCACACGCATTCCGAACTGCATTCCAACGTCATGCGTGACCGGCTTGTCGACCTTCGTGGCTATGGGTAAAGGTGGCTCGACATAGGGTGCTGGTGTCACATGTGTCACCAGTTCACTGGTCGTCTGACAGAGAGTTGAGAACTTGCTGGTCTGCATGGCAACATTCGACGTTTTCACGGTCACAGGAACCGGTTCGATCTTGGGCTGAACGGTCTGACAAGCCGTCTCTTCGGTATTCACGTACCGATGTCCACAGCTGGTACACAGACTCTTCTCGACCGCCTTCCGTTCTAACTTGTGTGTGGTCAGACTGACGACAGGTGTGCTCACTCTATCCACTTGCACTTCAACATTCACACTGGGTCTCTTCACGAAAGCTGCAGCCGAATCCAGCACACTTTCGGGCGACTTCATCGACACACCGGTCACACTATCCACAACACACACTCGTTCCTTCGTTGTCTGCACACAGGCTTCCAATGTTTGCACGGGTTTCGGTGGCTCGTGGACCGGAACAACCGGTGTCTCTGGTTTCACTGGTGCATGCATCTCACTCCAAGAGTCCACCATACACAATTTGGCAGGTTTAGCTTGTGACATCGCATCGGTGCGTTTCAACGACAAATGCGCAACACCGTCGAGCAGAGATTTGTGTGGCTCGGTCTGTGCACTCACGTCGGATGAGGAGACTGGTACTGTGTCGATTTGTTGGTCGACAGTGGAACGTTTCACAAACTGTGTGGCTTCCACTAGCGATACTTTGCGAACAGGCTCAGGTGTGGGTAACTCCAATGAGACGGTCTCGGTGACGAGAGGGGCTTTGACGTGAACTCTGGGTGTGTGAACAATCACATGCTGACTCGATTCCTCGACGTTTGGTTCATATTTCCATACTTGTATTCCAGCATTTAGCTTGCTTTTCTGTTTTTCGCCGGTAATTTTAATTACTTCTTCCCCTGCTTTCTTTGTTTCTCTCAAGCGTGTTATTTCGTACTTTTCTTTCTCTAAAATTGTTTTATCTGTTGTGTCTCTTCCATCTCGATCGGAGTAGGAAATGTTCTGATTGATTAATTTGGATTGTGTTGTCTTTTTATACATTGTTTGATTTCCTTTATCGCTTGTTTGGATTTTGTAATATTCTGACAAAATTGTTTCAGGTGCAGCTTCAATGAGGAAATATGCCTGCTTATCAATCAGTTGTGTATGTTGTTGATACTGACAACCAAAGTCACTACTCACTTTTGTACCTACTTCAATCTTTTCTTGATCATCAGATTTTCTTTTGTATATCGCTTCAGTGCTTTTTATCATTTCGTAAGTTTGACAGTATTTATTGCTTTTATCTTTAGATTTCAACTTTTCTGCTTCTTGTTGAATAAGCCGGTTGAATTCAACCTCTGTTATCTCTTTTACATGTGCGTACTGCCTAACTGCGTACATGAAATCCGTAGAGTACTCTTCTGTTTGCGTTTGTATATTTTCCTTTAGTTTAGTGATTTGCTGTTGTTGTATTTCTGTTGTTGGTTGGATATCTATGGTGATAAGATCTCTAGTACTGCATTCAATGTTTTTGAAGCTTGGACGTGCCTCTACAGCGATATCTGTAACTTGAACTTTTCCTGCCTTTGAATGAATTATTCGAGCTGATTCTTCAATTTTAGTTAAACTCTTTGCTTCCTCAACATGTTGTTTTTCTATCCATGTTCTTCGTGTAAATCTTGTTCTTTTCAAAGGATCTTCTGATTGTGTAGATTTAGAAACTGTTGATGGTTTCAAATTTTCGTGGTCAGTAGTATCAAGTAAATTAGTCTCTTCAGTTGGTGCTACTTCAATATAGACAACAGAATAGCGTCCACCGTCTTTAGTATCTATATACTTTCTGCTCTTATATGTGGTTGGTTTATCTGTTGTATCGATTGGCCGTTCAAGTGTTAACAACATTTGTTTATTAAATGTAGTTACAAAATTTTTATTTTCACTCAGTAACTCATCATCATCAGATCTTGTATAAAAATCTTGTTTTGACTGATATCTATGATAGTCGTCAATTTCATCATCGGTAGTACAAGAACTACCGGTACCAATACTTTGAATTTCTTCACTTGTAGTACAACTACACACCATTTCTTCATCATAAGTGAATATTGCTGGCAGTATAAAAGTTTTCTGTGGAAATTGTAAACTACTTGTAAAATGTGGTTGTTTAATTTGTTTCGAATGAACAATATATGATGTTTCCGTTTCATCAACCGATTCATTAGTACTTTCTGAATTTATATACTCTGAGCCTGAACTAGATAACCATTCATCATCAGAACTTGATGATAATGAATAAATATTATATTGATTTTTGTCTTTTGTTTGTTTATTCCATATTCTTAATTGATTAAGTAAAGTATCCAATTTTTTCTTGTCTTTCTGGGCTAAATCACTAGTAAAATAAGTATAAAAAAAGAGGATTTTAACAATCAAAACGACTCATTACATTTAAACAATCTAAATGACTGGGAATATAAATGATTCTTCTAGAAATAATATGATCTGTTTGAATATTGAATATATATATATATATACATATATATATATATATATATATATATATATATATATATTATTAGTCTGTTTAATTGAAGTATTTTATCTTTTCTGAAATCGAAATGAATTTACTTGAATAACTTGATAATTGAAAATCATACTTCATGTAACATGCTTACTTTACAAGTGTCACTGTTTCCATCATATGAAAACTTTGTTCTTGTAGTTCATTTAGTTTTTGTGATAAGTCCAATGGTATAATGTTTTCTTGTTCATATTGTTTGATAGTTCTCATATGAGCCTTTCAAATTAAATGAAATAAACCAAGGAAAAATAAGATCATTAATTGATAGTTTAAAATGATTAGTGAACTATTCTAAATACAAAATGAAATTTAACTTTTGGTTATGTGTAAAACTTTACAAGTTTGTGATGATGATGTTCTTCATAAGAAGAACAATGAAAGTCACACAACCAAAACATCCAGCTCAGAGAACCTAAACACCAACACAATCATCTACCTGAGCTACAAATTTTCTCTACCATGTCAAAACACAGACGTTGAATAACATTTATTGATAAAACTCATTTGAATCGGCTAATTTTAATAAGGTTAAAGGGAATCAAGATTTCAGTACTCTTTAACTAGGATAAAGTTCTTCGATAGTTTACTCACAGGCAAGGCAGGTCAGAATAAATATTATTTTGTTGTAAAGCTAAGAAGATCATTTACTGCCGTAGGGTCCAATTGTCGGAAAGAAATGTAATCATGGATGAGCTTGGTGTAGGTAATTTACATTGTTGATCTAACCATGGTCATTGACCTTATACCCTTGTTTGGTTCAGTTCAAACAACAATGCATATCTATGTATATATATGTCGTGTATTTATTGTTTTAGGGTTAGAATATATTATATGTCATGAAGTTAAAACGTCATTCTAATAACCATAGTTAATTTTTTTATTGTCATAATATTTTAGAGATTTATTCAATATCAAATGAAAGAAAAATTTTCATAAATGTATTCAAATCTTTACTAAAATGTTGTCATTTAAAGTAAAATAAAACAAAACGAATTGGTGAAAACGAAGTAAAGGCATCCTTGAAAGAATAATTTCGTATCAAATATATGGTTGTCTTTAATTGACAGATTTTCTTCATTATATTGTGTAAGTTTTGGATATCATGCAAATGTTTCATTTATTATTATTATTATTATTACCGCCATTAATTGTTTTGGAGACATTCGTTAAATAACTTTTTTAATTTACAAATAACACGATCTTAAAGTATTTATACCGTAACAGTTGCAAAATTTCATCAAGTTTTTTTTCACATAAAACACTATCCAGTTCCTCGACTGTAGCAGCTACTTTGACATGGTGGTCAGGCTTGCCTACCGTGATGAACCAACCAAGCTATATTGGCTGGAATGTATGTTCCTGTAGGTTTTACCATACCAGGCAGGTCGATCGGACTTTATAATCTCGCGCCATTGATGTATGCTATGTCTCTGAAACGCGTATACAGGATCCTCGTGAAATCATCAATTTGATTTTACCTTGTCTAAATAAAGAAGTAGCTCGATCTACTCTTCGTGTATCTGGAAGCCCTGATGCTGCTTCCCGTGGCCTCGCTGGTGTAGGTATAGCATTGAGTCCTAGGACAGAACTTACTCTCTTAGACTGAATCTCAGTAGATAGTCGCTTATTTGCAATGCGACTAAACTGGTCGGTATGGACTCAATCAGATAGGCACACTCCTCATTGCCTACGTTCCCACTTACTTCAGCACGGAAGAGGTTGAAGATAAATTTTACAGAAAGCTATAGGACCTCCTTCAAACATTTAGGCACTCTGATGTAGTAATAATGACGGGTAGCTTTTATGCTCAAACAGGAAGATTAAATGTACAGCAAACACTTCTGGATGAATCTTACAGAGTCGTGGCTTGAAGAACAGATAATGGCGAATGCCTACTGCAGCTATGCTCTAGCAAATTCCAACCTTAAGCATAAGGAAAAATACATTTCAACATGGCGAGCCCAAAAATCGACCCAATGATGGAACCAACGCGAACACATAGCTACCAGCCACTCATGGATAGGCTTGATAGAAGACTACCGCTCGTTCTGAAGCACACGTTTAGATTCAGACCATGCTCTGGTAAGAGCGCATATTCGCCTGTGTCTTACTTGACGTAAGAAAGAGACACCAAAGAAATCCCATAAAATTTAACTTAAGATAACAAAGCCAAGAATATATTCCAGGAGTGACTAGAGAAAGAGTTAGGAAGAAATGTTTATAATACCCTTCCTCAGGCAGCTTGGAATGACATCCACAAAGCTGTGGAAACAGCAGTGATATTTGCCTGTAAGGCAAACCATAAGGTTAGGGAAAACCAGTAGGTTTCAGCATCGTCTACCGAACTGATAGACGCTCAAAAACTAGTCCCTTCTGGCTCTGAACATGATGAGGACCGAAGTCAACCTGAGTACAGGCTGATAAGGAGTCTACGTAATGATCGTGAACAGTGGTGAGAAGTGAAAGCTAGAGAGGTGGAAAAGGCAGTGGCAATATGTAACAGTAGACAGCTGTTCAAACTTATCAAAGAAACCGGATTCAGGAATCTTACTGTTAGTGCGACTACCTCTAGAAGGGGTGGGACTATTATTCATTCTCAATCCAAGAGATTGGATCAATGTGTAGGACACTTTAGGGATCAGTTCAGTCAAACTTCGGTTACCCATGATCTCCACTCAATCTGAATGGTAGTTTGATGTAAGTCCTTCAAGTCTTAATGAGGTTGAAAAGTCTATAGGAAATCTAAAGCGAGAGAGAGAGACAGAACCCGATGGATTATTTCTTGAGATTTCCAAGTATAGTGGTTTGGTTCTAGCAGTTAGATTGACTGAGATCTTAGGTAAAATTTGGGAACTGGATGTAATCCCTTGATGTAATCACTGATTGTCTCAGTCTATAAGAAAGGACAAAAGTCCTCTTGTGAAAATCACAAAGGAATCGATTTGACCAATATAGTGTATAAAATATTGACTTCAATAATACTTAGACGCCTAACTGGAGCTTAAGAAGAGTAGATTCGAGAAAATTAGGGTTGGTTCAGATCCGGACGTGGATATATAGGCTATATATCCACTCTTTGTTAGGTCCGAGAACATAGACACAGATTTCGGTGTCCCAAAATAGTTAAATTCCTCGACCTTGAGGTATCGTTTGAATCTGTCGATAGTGAGGTTTAATGGCAGTATATGTCACTGAAAGATGTACCAAAGAAGTACATTCACCTTATACAAGTTCTGCACACGAACACCACTGGATTAGAGAGAGCTTATGGAAAACTGTCATCAGGATTGATTACTTCAAGTGGTTTTCTACAGGATTTTCTATCTTCTCCATTCATATTTAAATGTGTCATTGAAACGCTTTTGGGGAAAGACACTTTCATCATCTGACTCTTCAGGAGTTGACCATCTGCTGGGTGAGTCGCTTGCTGACTATGAATACAAAGATGACAATCCGTTTTAGTGAAGATGCTTAGAAAATGAAGATCCACCTGCCTCGGAGAGCGATGACTCCTGGTCTAGGGATAGTCTGAAAGACAGCTGGGTGCTGCCAGACCAAAATTTGCTAAGAATCCATGAAGTCATTGACAAGTGGACTAAGTCATGTTGGTAGGGGTAGACTACCTGGTTGGGTTCCACGAGATGATAGTAACCGATGATTAGGGACCTTGAATGACATGGCTAAAAATCATTTACATAGGCGCAGATGCATCCATTATCTGTGTTCTCTCAAATTCTAATCTTCTGAATTCCTCATGACCGATGTTTTCTCTCTCTTTTTTCATTAAATTAACTCTTCTGTGATTTACTTCTGGAATGATATCTTCGGTCACTAAACTTTTTGACTATCGCTAATACTTCTGCTACCTCTACTACTCGTTCAGTTTGAATTGACGATTCGATCTCTGTATGCTAATGTTGTATCATAACTTGAACTGATGTATGTTCTCATGAAGTTCTACCTAGTGTGCATTGATTCTTTCATAATTTTTTTTTTGCCGTAAAACATTTCATTTCAGCACATAAAAAGTTCATGGCTATTTAGTTAGCACAAGTCTTTTATTGTTATAATCAACTAGCCTGATAGATGTGGCTCTGTGGGCTATTCCCTTAGTTTGAATCAATGCATATCGAATGATAGACAAAAAAAAAATCACATTCAAATTATTGCAGACTAAGTCTTATTTCAAGCTTTTCACATTATTCAAATTTGGCTACTGTGTTCATTGTGATGTATGATTTCAGAGATGTGATTGAAAGAGATGAGTTTAGCGAAGTATCAGTCTGTGTTATGAAACAACATCCGAGATATCTCGACTTCATTATCGAGTTATAATTCAGAAATTCTAAAACTTTTCACTTTAAACACAGACATACACATAATGTGTGAGTGAAAAAAAAGAATTTTTGAATACAATACCTTTCATGTACTTAAAGGAGGAATGTTTATTACGAAAACTTAAGATTTGATTGATGAATCAGGTTGACTGGATTATGAGTATCGTAGCTCGGTGTTTATTGAACACTCTTTAATGATTTTTAATGTAAACATTTAATATACACAATTAAAATATACTTCTGATAAAAAATTTGACAACTCACTTTATTCCAATCAAGCAGACTTTGAAATATTGCGATTTCTGTTCGACGTAGATGAATGCCACCTGACATACGAGTCCCAACTATAAATGAATTTAAAGCAAAAAGTGAATTGATTGATTATACTTATCTCATTATACTACTTTTTATTTATTCAGTAGTGATCTACATTAATTTTGATAGAAATGTCACTGAAACTTTTCTAATTTAAGTTTGAAAAGCATTGTTAAGAATTATTCAACTTTTAATCAGAGAATGACATTGATTGAGGTACTAAGTCTCTGTCCCAGGTTTAAATGAAAGTGCATTTAATATCCTATAGTCGACGGAAACAACCAAGAAAGCTATAATTGAAACCATCAATCAATCTTTATCAGACCACCATTAGAAACCTGGAAGCACTAGACGGTCGTTTCGTCCTGATATGGGACTCATCAGTAGTGCGCATCCGAAACTCCCGCACCTCACAAGATTTGAACCCGAGACCTTCGGTTTTGAGCGAGAACCCCTAACATCTGGACCGTTGGGCCGGCATCCAACGGTAGTAATGTCTAACTCTGATTGATCTACGGGCTTTGCGCGGCCTCACTCATTTTTCTTTGGTAGTTACTGCCTACACCCAACAGGGTTGAACTCGGTTGGTCACGTCTTCTCACTAGAACTCCGAGAATTTTCTCACGCAGCTGGTCACTAGTTGGCACATTTTACGATTTTTAATTAGAGTTATGGAGATTAGTGTTTTGACACAATGAAATCAATCATTCATTGTTAGACCACCCTTAGAAGGTCCCGGTTTCGAATCCTGTGAGATGCAGGAGTCTTGGATGCGCACTGCTGATGAATCCCATATCAGGACGAAACGGCTGTCCATTGCTTCCAGGTTTCTAATGGTGATTTAACAATGATTGATTGATGATTTCAATGTGCAAAAAACCCTAATATTCATCCATCCATAACTCTAATTGAAAAGTTTCAATTACCATCCCTAAGATTATGTATTCAAGCCTTATTGATCAATAAATAAAAAGATTTACTGAGCATTATCTGAAATTAGTGCATGAAAATAAATTATCTCACTATAGGGTTTAAAAATATAGTTCAACAATGATTGGTAACTTGATTCCAATGCTGTTTAACTCATGAATTTAATTAATTCGACTATTTATGTAGAACGTCATGGACAAATCCAAATAAAGGATCCTGAGTAGGATCAAAATGTTCACATCGGAAGTCAATATCGACCTTTGTTCCTTGCGTTATGTGTTTAATTATAATTTCTCATGAATTCTCTAAATTAGTTATCTAAGTTATACTGTTTTAACCAAAATCACTTTGAAATGAAGTGTTATTGCCTGTTTATTATATATTATCGAAATTAACTGTTACGAGTTTATTTCATACAAATATCAAGACATGGAAATGCACTGTATAAATGCAATGTTATTTTTTATCAACTGAAGGCAAAGTTAGCTGATGAATATTTATCTTCCCTGAAGTAATGAATTAAATTTCAATAATATTTTGTTTAAATCATCATTTTTTCACTGTTTCATTATAGATAATAACAAATTATTTTAAAGAATTAGAAAATACTGTTCGGAAAAAAACTTACATGTTTTTGTTTTGTTCCAGTGTTCACGTGTAGCATCAATAAGTCGTAAAAATTCTTTGTTAAAATTTTCCGCTTCAGCTGTTGGCGGTTCAGTTAAAGAGAATACTAAATTATTGAGAAATCGTTTAAATGCTTCATCATCATCTGTTGTTAAACCCTATAGATTCAATAAGAATGAACACAATAAAATAATATATGGAAAATGATGAAAGCATTTTTTTTGTGTAAAATTCATTCTTAATAATTCACAAACAACAAAATAGTCAATAAAGCAGATGTTGATTAATTGTTTATTAGAAACATTTTTTTTAGAAAAATTTGGGATGGTTGAAATAGTAATTGAAAAAGCTTATCAACTAGAGCCAATATTTATTATTGTTAATGTTTTAATATTAATGTCGAAAAAATGGTTAAGTCAATTCAACAGTATATACTCTGTTAGTCCATTTCCATCAGATGCAAAAAACAATTGTATGAGAGGCTTTAAAAGCCAGACCACCTTAAATCTCTACTCAAATATCACAGAAACAAGTCAGAGTTCATGCAAAATATATGTTGACTAAAATGATTGATCTTGTAAAAAGTTTTTAAAGAGAAAAAATTTTACAAGATCAACATAAGCAATATTTGCAGTTTATGAGAATCCTGTTCAAAAACTTGATCAAAATAGAGAAATACTCAGACATGTCCTTTGCGATAGTTCATCCAAGTCTATAAACGGAGCGTTTATTTTGCACAGTAAGTTTTTGTGTACCAGTCAAATAGAAGCCATTCAAACAGAAAATAATTGAGGCTTGTCATAGAGAAAAGTTAAAGGTTTTGAGGTCAATAATCATTATTGCCAGTATTTTTGGTAATTTAAGTAAAATGAACTTGGTATACATACTTTATTTTTATTAATAAAATCCGAAGTGTTTGTAGTAAATCGTAGTTTATGATGATATTCTTATTCGTTCTTCTTTCAGGAAAAATGTAATAAACGGTTCAATCAATATTTATTCTCTTGAACAGATTATACTTCTATTGGTTTACTTGAATTTTGACTATTCTTACACAGTGATACATAACCTTTATTGAATGCTGTTTTAAATTTACAGTCGTTCTTAATCAAATACATCCGTAAAAAAATTTAAGATAAAATTCTAGAATCCCGTCTCTTTGGATGTCTACCATCTTTAATTAAATCTCATTTTTATATGTGATAATTTTTATTTAGCTACTTAAAAAAAACAGAACTATTAAGCATTCAGTTGTTGACGACCTTTGGTCTGTCATAAATACGACAATTTGGAGCCCATTTTATTGGGGTTATTTCGTTAAGTTAATACACCCATTGGCTTTATTAACGTGTATACAAATGAGTAGACAAATGTTTTGCGTAATTATTCTTTTTATTAAGCTTAATTTTTAAAAATTTTGACCCACATTGATTTTTGAAATATTCTCGGATTTTTATCATGCTACAACGAATTATTCACGTACAATTATACTTGATTTTCTTATATCCTAGCACAAACGTGTTTTAACTTATAGTGTTTTAGATTGAACTAACAAATATCAGTCGATTATGATTTAAAAAAATTGATTTTATATTGAGAATGAATCAAGATTATGGAAACTCATTGAATAGATCCAATTGTATTGATACGAACAAATCACAACAGGAAATGTACGCTTTTTAATGATAATTTTAAGGGACCTTCATGCACTGACTCAAAATGATAGATATTCGTTTTTAAACTACTTACTTTAGAAGTAATTTACTGACTACATGTTTCACAGGATGGGAGAAGAGTCAGTAAAATATATATCGAGTCAAAAGTGAATAGTTTTCAACTGCTATCAGGTTCATTAAGGAAAAACGTGTCTTTATCACAAACAGTTTGAAGTAGAAAATATCATATAGTTTCTACAATTTATATGTTCATTTTCAATAATTCAGTTAGCAAATAGAATATTCTAAATGTTTTGACATTATACAGATGAGAGGATATAACTATTCACGTGTAGTCTCAACGAAACATCTACAAAAAAATATTGGAAACTTACATCACATTCAATAAATCGTTGTAGTAGGATCGTGAAAAATTGAAGACATATTTTAAGCTGTTCATCTATTATGTAATTCCAGCTGTCCAAAATCACTTTATACAGTCTGTGAAAGATGAAAGAAAAAAAATCAATATTATGCTTGTTTATATAAATGAATTACAATGTGAGCAGTTCATCAGAAAGTTTCAGATTTTTAAAAGTAATCAGTACACATTGGTCACATAAGACTGATCAACTGTAGTCCTAATTACATCAATGGGAAAATTCAAACACTCAGCACATATCACATACTTTGTTTTGTTGAACGGATTCCAACAATTTCAGCTTCTTTGAGAAGTAAAATAAATTAGTGCAACATTGAAGACTTTTTAATCAAGCACATAGCTGATACATTCCCGCGTTTGGTGGTGATCATGTTAATGTTGGTTCATAAAACGGATAATCGCTTTTTTACTTCATACAATGTGACTATTATTGAATGCTAATATTAGTTGATGAATATTTTTTGACCTTTTTGGAAATACTGTTATTGGAATATCCGTTTTTTTTTAACCTAGTTAAAAGTTATAGGAAGTTTTTCTAAGGTGCTAGCTACACTCTTAAGTAGAATTCAAATATCTATCTATAATAAAACATGTTAGGATAAACGATATAGCAAACATATGTTTGTAAACATTGAGTTTAAATCTTAACTATTGAATGTTATTTGCCAGTTTTTATCGTGAATTAAAATCAACCAAGGAAAACTTCATAGACGTGAACATTTAACAATATCAGATAGAATTGAATATAGGAAGTGAGATTTCAAAGAACTAGTCGATACTGTTAAACGGCTTAGTTGGATTTCAATAACGTTATCATTTTATAGCTTTATACATTTTAGAATGTAGTCTAATATTCATGGAGTGTCAGTCAGTCAGTCAGATGCAACGTAGAACTTCGTACGTAAGTACATCAGTTCATGTTGACATACCATACTAGCACAGAGATGTAATCCTCAATTCAAATCCAATAGTAATAGAGGTAGTAAAAGTATTAGAAGTAATTAGAGAGATTAGGATTAGAAGATATTATTCAAGAAGTATGATTCAGTGAGATAAGTTTAGGAAGACAAAACTAGAGGGGTTGAAGAATCCAGAAGATTAGGATTTGAGAGAACACAAAGAATAAATGCATCTGCGCCATTGCGAACGGTTTTGAGAGATGTCATTCAGGTTATCTAACCATCGATTATTATCTCGCGGACCCCAACCAGGTAGTCCACAACTACCGACATGGCTAAGTCCACTGGTCAGTGACTTCATGGATTTCTGCCATATTTTGGTCTGGTCGCCCCTAGCTTTCTTCCAACCCATTCCTACACTACAAAACAAAGCTCGTCAAGGCAGTCAGTGGTTAGGCATACGCAACACATGTCCCAACCACCTCAACTGATGAAGTTTCATTACTTCATCTATTGATCTTCCATTCTTACCTAGCACCCGATTCCTAATAACAGCGTTGCTCACTCGGGTGTCCCACGATATACGAGCAATGCTTCGAAGACTCCTATGATCGAAAACCAGTAACCTACGAATATCTTCTACTCTTACTGGCCATGTTTCACAGCCATAAAGTAAGACGGAGAGAACTACTGCACAGTACACTCATCCTTTAGTTACCATTCATGGTGTGTCATCTTACTATATGATTAAACTATTTTCCAGTCAGATTAATTCATTGATCTTAGTTATTTTAATTACTTATAACACTAAAGGAGTTTTTAAATATTCAATTAACTGAATCCAATGAAGTCAAACAAAGAAACTACTAGATTACTACAAATCTCTTATTATCTTTAGGGCATTGAAATTTCATGCCAAACAACATTCGGGAAATGTTGTAGTTTGCAGATAATGCTTTGTTTATTGTCATATAAAAACAATTAGAGTTAAAAGGAAGTCGTCAAATTCTACATCTTTTGAATGGTATTTGAATATTAAGAATAATATGTTTAAAATAATTTAATAATTTCCTAACTAGAAATATATTAAATTTATGTGCAATCATTAGGAAATAGTTAATTAAAGAAAATAGAAAAAAACATTCAATTTAATAAATAAGTAAATAAAAGCTCATGATTATTTACTTTATTGCTTTCTCTTGAGCTTCCATATCAGGTGACGGAATCCATACACACACAGATGGTACTAAACCTTCCACTTTCCCCTCAATACTTCTAACATGCCAATGAAGCTTTGACGATGATTGTCCTAGTGGACTGACATTTTCTGTAATAGTACTAGTTGTTTGCTCAGTGCTTGTGGTACCAGTATCACTAGTCTGGCCACGGCCGAAATTCCAGCTAGGCAATGTGGAAATTCTAGGTTTTGGACATCGTAAATAAGAGTTACTGTCAGTTGAACGATCGTCTATTTCTTCAGTTCTTGATCCACTATCATTATCTGTTTCACATGTATCCATTGTATCAGATGTGATATTATTTGATTCTTCCGATATTACATCGTCGTCATGATGACCATGTGTTCTTTGTTGAAATTTCTGTTTATTCTGTATACCACCAGCCATATTGTCAATTATAACAATTCGTTCACCAGCGGTTAATTTAAATTTCGGTGTTTCATAATCGCATAACATCACACCATTTACAGGGGACTTAACATGATTTGTTCGTAGATAAATAGGGACAAGTGATTTAGATTGTTCAATTAATTGTTTGGAACGGTTGACCATATAGTTTAAATGATCGAATTGACTCTATAAAATGAAAATATTTTTACTTAAATAATGAATTGAATTTGAGTAATGCAAATAGAAACAACTTTCATCGCAACAATTAATTTCTGTCTTAGTGAGGAGTAGCTAAATATTTTTATCAAGATTCCGAGGTAATACACGTTGTTTGGCTAATCAAAATGTATTTTAACTTATGTTGATTATTTTTTTGTGGTTTCAGATACCAACGATCAGTCGAAAATGTATTTTATTGATGCGGTTGGATACATTATTGTTCATTTAAAGTCAGAACTAATCTTCTTCAGTTCAGGAATCAGTAACGAATGCAAATCAATAGTATTTTATCTGGTTTGAACAGTTTTGAACGCAGGTCTATATGGTTAAATATGACAATGTAATAAAAATATTTCCAGACTGAACGTTAAGTACTTTGATTCCTTAGTTCGATATTCGCTGTTTACTTACTCATATGTGTTAGAATTTATTACCATCTAAATAAATTTTGAGATTTGTTAAATAATCTATATTAAAATAACATTTCCAGAATATCTTTCATCAGAATAAAAGAATGCAAACACACATTTAGTCTTAATTTAAATGTATTTATAATTCAGTATTAGCGTTTACACTAGCGCCATGACTCAGTTTAATACATCCCGAAAGTTTAGCACATTATTGACTGAGCTAACAGTCAATTGTTCATATTATTCTGATGTTCTGTTCTAAATAACTTTTGACATATTAGTTAAATCAATGATTTTTACACATTTGAAATCATCAATCAATCATTGCTAGACCACCATTATAAACCTGGAAGCACTAGACGGCCGTTTCGTCCTGATATGGGACTCATCAGTAGTGCGCATCCACGACTCCTGCACCTCACATGATTTGAACCCGAGACCTTCGGTTTCGCACGCGAACGCCTAGCCATCGGACCGCTAGGCCGGCATCCAACGGTGTTAATGTCTAACTCTGATTGATCTACGGATTTTGAGCGACCTCACTCATTTGTCTTTGGAAGTTACTGCCTACACCCAACACGGTTGAACTCTTTTGGTCACGTCTTCTCACTAGAACTTCGAGAATTTCCTCACGCAACTGGTCACTAGTTGGAACATTTTACGATATTTCCAGTTAGAGTTATGGAGATTAGTGTTTTTACACATTTTAAATCATCAATCAAGGATGGAAAATACCAACAAAGCTAATCAAAACTCAATCCTTATTATTGTCAATCAATTAATAATTCAAATCACTATCAATTAGAGAATAAATTTCTTTAAACAGTAAACATTCTGTTTATTTATTTTGAGGACTTAGTTGTTATTTAATCTAAAGTGAATATGGTTACCAAAATAATTTAAATTATATACATCATTGGATATTGGTTTTACTAATTTCTATGTAGTGTCTATATAATCGTTACTACATTTTACCGTCATCGAAATATTATGTCACATTAAGTTCAAAGAATATTTTTAAATTCATTAAATTAAATGGCCTTTTGTAAAAAAAAAAAAGAAAACCTGAAACTTATGCTTTAAATAATAATAATTTTACAAAGAAATAAAGTAGTAGATATTTTTGATAAATTTCACTAAAATACAAACGTAATTGGAATAACATGAGTTTATTATATTTCACGATTTCCCTTCAACTACTTAAATATAAAACAAAATACTATTGATTAACGCTATCACATTTTCAAATAATATGATTAATAGTATTATACTGATAAGTAAATTATTGAAGAGAAACTACACTATGTAATGAAATCATGATTTTCTACCATTTTTTTCGTTATTCTTAATGTACAGTGTAAAAAATAAAACTATTTCATTTGGAAATTTTAAATCAGCCTAATTAAAATCCCTTCAGGATTCTACCAATATATATCAACTGATTTTAGACTCTATTGTAAAAAAAATATTTCATAGTTAAAAGTGCAATAATTCTTCTTCTTGAACTTCAAAAAGATTTTTGATTAACTAAAAATTACCAAGTGCTTATAATATATAGATAGGTACTTTAAAATTCATATCAGGTGATATCAGACAGTGCAACGTTTTGTTTCTTTGATGTCATATATATATATATATATATATATATATATATATATATATGAATAAACTGAAACTGACAGAAATGAGGTCAAATTAATTCTTTTTAATTTTTTTATTTAATTTATCTATTCCACTCTTCAGTGATAAGTATTGAATATAAATTTCTCTTTAGATTATCATCATTTCTAATCATTGCAATTAATAGCTATACAGTTTTTAGATGAATATGTTAAAGTGGAAACAGTAATGTATTATTTCATCGGTAATTATTTTTGAATATTCTTCAAATATCAGTGTTATAAATTGTTGCGATACAATGTACCTACTGAAAGAACATTTAAGTAGCAAAAATTAATCTGAAAAATAATTGAGAACATTTATAGTCAGGCATTAAAAAATAGATTATCCAACTAATGTTCAGTTAAGATGATGTATTAAAAAACTTGATTTTTTGAAAGTAGATAACATAGTTATATGAACTCGATTCGAAAATAATTTAAACTTACTCGTAACCAATCTCTTAATTCTTTTGATGAATTTGTATAATATTCATGATTCATTTCAGCGAAGCGCCCACGATTATATAGAAATTTCTTATGTCTGTCATAAAGTTTAGTTTCTAAATGTCTGGCATCATAATAAAACTAAAAAGTAAAAAAGGAAACAATTTTAAAATTATTCAAGTGCTAAACTGTTTTCAGAATTCTAAAGGAAGCCAGAACAACAATGCTGTGTAATATTCAAATTAGCCATAAGCCAAGTTTCATGAGAAACCTTTGCAAATCTGGTCAACTAAACTTTGATTATCTCAAAAGGATTTATACCTGGTTACCAAATTACACGTCAGATCATTTGATAAGTACTATCTAAACGCTATCTGATTTTGAATAACATTTTGATCATCCCAATAATATTTGCTTATTATAAATATCCAAGTTTTATTTGAAATCTCATGGAATATTCAGTTACAGTCGAAATTATATGGTGAATCTCCTAGACCTCTTGAGAAACATATTTTTTGTTCATTCAGTGAAACAATCAAGCATTAATCAATACAATTTTAAGGTCACTAAGGGTTGTAGTTACATAATTCCACGTTATTTCAATTGCGTGCATACGAAAAGCATTGAGAAAAGTAGCTAATACATTGTTTTCTGAAAATTTACTTCAAAATCATTGTCTGAAGAAAAGCGTAGTTTTAAAAGTTCAACTATTAGGTACCTAAAGTAAATTAAGTATGAAACTTGGGTTTTTAAGATAGTAAAAGAAGTTTAAGTACTACCAGCGTTATTTTTAACTGATTTTTTAGAGGCCATTATCATCTAACTTTTTTCGGCCTGATCTATGTGCACTGGGAAAAACTTTTTACTTTGATGAATATAGTTTTTGCCACTTAAATTTATTGTTTGCATATTTACATTTTTATCCAAATACTGACATCTAATAACATCTCCTGGGGTCTCTCTGGGGTTGCTGACGGTTTTTAAGCCCATATAAGGGAGGAGGGTTGGGTATAGCTTGGAGGCTCTATTCTGTAGAACACTAACTCGCTAAAAATCGCTTTCCAGAACAACAACAACCGTTGATATTAATCAGTCACGTTAAGTTAACTCTAATATCGAATTCACTATGGGTTTGTACATGCTTACTAATATGATGGTTATGGGCAAATTTTAATTCTTCACCTTCATTACTCTATGTAGCTAGTAAAAAAATACAAATGATCATCAGAGTGAAGTAATGTTCAGTATTGAAATTTGTGTCGTCTTTCCTCTTATTGGTGTGTTTGGCTACATTAGATTCGATTCAGGGTTAATCATTTTAGTGGCCCGCTATCTGACTCTGGACAATTAAATATGCTATAAAACAAATCTCCCCTTCAGTTTCCGTATATCACACTCAGGAGAACCATGTTTGTGCAACGGCGGTAATTAGAATCCAAATACGGATTCGGTTGAATGAGTTGGCAGGAAATGGTTCGTGCAAACAGTCATGAGTACGAAAAGCGTACAAGCGAAGCGAAGTGGAGTAGAAAAGTTGAGAGAGCCAACTCAGTATAAGTAGGCTTAACTAGGCATTTATGAAGAGACAAAAATAAGCTAAACATGTATTTTAAGTGAAGTAAACGGCAAAAACGGACACCCAAATAAAAACAATCAAGATGTGGACGAATGATTGACAAGGTCAAAACGCATGTGAATAATGACTCGAGAAGAAAGGATTGATTACATTGTCCAATGATAGAGACAAAGCCTGAAGGCTCGACATAAAAGTGCACATACTGCAAGTATGCCATAAAATATATTTATCTGTATTTGTTAAATTACAAATATTAATATGAATATTAGTAAAGAAGGATTACCTGATGAAAATCGGCAGCATTTTTAAGATGTATAGTTGCTAATTCGGAATATCGACCAAGATTTTGCCAACATCGATTGATAGGTCCAGATAATTTCTAAAATTAACAGTGGACAAATAATATTTTGTCAGGTGGGAATTGAATTTTCACATGTCATCTAAGGTTTTCTATTTTTCATTTGAAATTGAGAGAATGAGAAAGAAATCCCAAAGTCTCAATTAAAAAAGCTGTTGATTTTATTCTGATGAAAATTCTAATGTTTTGTTTAGATTCTTTTTGACTGTCGTATAAGATTTGCATTACTTAAATTTTAAACATCTATTAACTGTGTCAATTAGAATAGCAACTAAACTGTAGACTTTATAAAATGGAATTTTAGATTTATTGAAACTGTTTAATTCAAATACATTTTTTGTGTATGGTTACCTTGAGAATTAGATAATTACTAATGGTGTTGTGATCATTTCGCCTGTTTCGAAACACATTCAGAGGATATATTTTATCCGGAGTGATATTGATTTTTTTTCCCAAATGATAGCTAAATCAACACCATCAAGTGAAAATAGTTCTTTCGAAAGCTTGGCAAAGTCACTAAATCAATCATCATCTACATCCAACAAAATTAACCGCCACCACTAGATTATAAATTACTGATCTTGGAATCATTTGAGATCAAACATCACGATAAGTTAAAAATCAATCATTTATTGACTTGTTGTACTAGTCATATGTGGAATTTGCTTATAAATAACTAACTGTTTACATAGAACACTTGTTATATCCATTGTAATTATGATTCAGTATTTACAAATGTGTGATTTTATGTTTGCTACATAGAAATTCACTTATCCTCGACCTGCCATTTAAGTCAATGAACATTTAACCGAAATAGATAACAAAATGTTTCAAATTTGCAAATACTTTTGGTACATTTTGTTTCATAAGAAAATTAAGTATTTCATGAGTGATAATTAGTATTTCTCAATCTACCCTATAAAACAAAGTAATCCATACGATGTATATGGGTAGATTTCAATATTCTACAAAATACATGAATGTAATAGTGGACAACATGGACTGGAATGTTATTCCATGTCAAACACATTGACTAATCTCACAATTATCAATGATGATACTGAATTATTCTTTATGTAATTTATAAGATCAATATCTTTCAAATACCACCCTGCTAACATGATGTTAGAAAAAGATAATATTGATTAAAAGGTGGGTGATAGTAGTTTTGGAAAATTAGAAACAAAAAAAAACCAAAAGAATTTAATCCGAAAAGAAAAGAAGCAACCGAACACATGAAATCCACATCACATGAAGTCATATGAACTGAATTTTGTATTTTGCCAAACCAAAATTATATTCGAACTATGTGCGCATTTTTTCTACTAGCATCATAAGGCTGAATACCATTGAATAAGAATGTTGAAATATAAATCGAATCATTTAAATTGTATGAGATGTTAGATGTTTGCTATTTTATTATTATTATTAACCATGTTAAAGTATTATAGTGTAAGTGAATTTTAAATTTTTGGACACTGAACAGATATATATATATATATATATATATATATATATATATATATACATATATATATATATATATATATATATATATATCGAGAGTGGGTTGTTTCGCATCAAGAAAGACCTTATTACATAAGATATGGTAGTATAAACCGTCATTTATCTGACACAATTTATCGATGACCATGTTATGTTAAATATTCATATTGCAAACTGACATGACGTGTGGAGCAATAAGTATGAGAAATACCATTAAATATCATATTACTTATAGAAGGTTTGAACAATGTAACTTTGAATCTTCTAGTTGGTTTCTCCAAGATTGTAAAATGAATGACGAAAGTTAATAACATTGATGTTGACAAGACATTTAGATTTTGTTGAGTAAATTTGTGAACACATCACGGGACAACATGGACTGGTTGAAAGGATCAAAAATGGTGAGAGATTTGCAAACCTATGTGCCTTTAGCAAACTGGTCATCGGCGGCACAAAGTTCCCACACAAACGCATACACAATGCTACATGGATTTCACCGGAACAAAATCGACCATACATATATTAATAAAAAGTTTAGAAGGACCATGGGAGATGGGAGAACCAAGAAAGGAGCTGATATAGCCTCAGATCACCACTCGCTGGTCGTCAAAATGAAACTGAAACTCATGAAACACAGAAAAACGGGACAGACAACATCACAGGCGTTTAATACAACCTTTCTTCGGCATACCGTAAAACAAAACGAATTCAAGTCAGCCCTCAGCAAGAGGTCCCGGGCCTTGCACGACCTACTCAATGGAGAGGAGACTACCTTGGGGAACAATTGGAAAGGGATCAAAGTGGCAATCACTTCAACATGTCAGGATTTCCTAGGTCATCGGAAGCACCATCACAAGGAATGGATCTGTGTTGGTACTCTTGAAAAATTGAAGAAAGGAGGAACAAGAGAGCAGCAATCAATGTCAGCTGAACAAGAGCAGAGAAAGTTAAGGCACAAGCTGAATACACAAAAGCAAACAGGGAAGTGAAGAAGAGCATCAGAGCTGACAAACGAAAATATGTGGAAGATCTATCAATGACGGTGGAGAAGGTTGCAAGAAAAGGAAACTTGAGGCAATTGTAAGATACAACAAAGAAGCTTGCTGCAAACCATCGTAAACCAGAAAGATCAGTGAAAAGTAATCATCGACATTGAAGAACTGTGAAATAGGTGGGTAGAGCACTTTAACTAACTCTTGAATCGACCAGCTCCACTGAACCCACCCAACATTGAAGCAGCATCTACGGACCTCCCAATCGATGTTGGCCCACCAACAATTAAAGAGATCAGTATGGGCTTCAGACATATGAAGAGTGGCCAAGCAGCAGGACCGGAAAACATTTCAACACAGGCAATGAAAGCAGATGTGGAAGGAACTGCAAAAATATTTCACATTCTCTTCAACAAGATTTGGGATGAAGAACAAGTACCATCAGACTGAAAAGAAGGATACCTGATCAAAATACCAAAGAAAGGAGATCTCAGCAAGTGTGAGAGCTACAGAGGCATCACTCTTCTCTCAATACCACGCAAAGTCTTCAATAGGGTACCGTTAAACAGAATGAAGGACTTCGTAGACGCCCAACTTCGAGACCAACAGGCTGTATTTTGTGAGGATCGATCATGTAACATTACGGATCATTGTGAAACAATCGATTGCATGGAACTCACCACTCTACATCAAGTTCATTGTCTACGAGAAAGCATTAGATAGCGTGGACTGGAAAACACCATGGAGGCTTTCTCGACACTACGGCGTGCCTGAGAAGATAGTCAACATCATACGGAATTCTTATGATGGATTCAACTGCAAAATCGTGCATGGAGGACAGCTGACAGACTCGTTTGAGGTGAAGACCGGTGTCATACAAGGTTGCTTACTCTCACCCTTTCTCTTTCTCCTGGTGATTGACTCGATTATGAAAACCTCAACATCTGGAGGGAATCACGGTATCCAATGGACAACTAGGACACAGCTGAGCGATCTGGACTTCGCAGATGACCTGGCTCTTTTATCGCACATGCAACAACAAATGCAAGAGAAGACGACCAGTGTATCAGCAGCAGCAGCTTTCCATATACATGAAGGAAAAGAGGAAGGCCAAGGAATATATTACCCCGAAAAATAGAGAAAGACTTGAGAAAAATGAACGAAAACTGGATAGAACTGGAAAAGCAAGCCCAGGACAGAGTTGCTTGGGGAAAACTGGTCGGTGGTGTATGCTCTATTGAGGGTAACAGTTATAAGTAAGTAATTGTTTACTAATTTAGGATTTAGTACAGTGTGTGAACTTTCAGATGAAAATTCCATACTGTGAATGTGATTATTTACTAATAGAGTATTCGTGACGATAAAAAAGAAAGTTTTACAAGTTTATCTTACATTGAAAAAACTGCTATTTCAAGAATTTATAAGTTAGTTTTTCACAGATTGATTTCGAAAAATCCGATGACAGAACAGGCAAAATAGACTTACTTTTCGCCAAAATTTACTTTCGAAATTCTCCATGATAAGTCTTAAAGCCCGTTTAGCGTTGAACGCGGCAACATCCTAGGAAAAAATTATTAATTTACGTTCAACGTAAACCGGTATATGATTACTTACAGAATAAATATCCTCCATACTGGTGATTCCAGCTAAATAATGCAAACAATCTTTATTAGTTTCAACACGTTCCTATAATAGAGAAAATAATTGATATCTTCATTGGTTTAATTGTCATTACTTACTGTTATATAACTGATTTGATTCAAAATATCATGATTCTGAAAAGTAAAAAGGATTATTGTCAAAAATGTGTTTCATATCAGATCATACCGAACTGGTTACACTTTCTCTTATCCATTTAGCTGATCCTTCAATTGTCTGCTGTCTGACCATTTCATCTTCCAATCCTTGATGTGTATAACCGAGATTCGGTGTTTCACATGCATTCTATGTTAATATTGAAGAAAAGAAAACAACAGAAAATCGTCAAACAGATAATAAGAACGTGTATGAGATGAAGTGTATTCCGAATTAATAATCTTAGATATGAAATAATTATCACAAATTCTATTCAGCTTTCAAGCTATATACATTAATCTGTTCATGAAATCATGATAAACTGAATTCATTTCCAAAACGCCATTTTATCTTATGGTAGAAATGTTAACTTGATGGCCTAAAGTTATAAAATAACTAAAAACGTGGACAGCTCAAATTAGGCGAAGTGAAAGAACTAACGATCCACAAATCATTCAAAAGGACAACCTTATTCTACAATCTGGAATATATCTTGATTACAAGTTGGGAACTGACAATCGCAATTTTCGCTTTCACAAGCTTAAGACATTCTAGCTGTATTTCCTTATGATGACACATGAAATCAAGTCCAGGACCTGCAGGCCTTACGATGTGAATTATGGTAGTCAGACTGAGTGATAACCAGAAACCACCTTTATAACGCCTTCATTAGTTTTTTCTAGCTTCTGGACAGATAAGAAATTATAGTCCCTCTTCTTTGTGCAGTACATTTTAGCCACATCATTTATTCACTTATAACCTTGATAATTTTGATACATTTGTCAATATATGTCTATCCACCTACTGTTTGTCTTTTCTTATTGGATTATATGAAGTTGAGTCACACTTAGTCGAAACAGTTGGACCTAATTTCTGCATAAATGACTAAAAATATATCCAAAACATATTTTGTGTTAGACTTTTATCACCTTCGTTATGTTAATGTGATCAGTCGACAAAGGAAGTAGGAACTTAAAGAGAATCTACCTTACATCCTCTTTATCGTCGGTCATTTAGAGTCAACGAGATGCTTGGAAAACTCATTCTGTAAAATATCAAAGTCTTTCTTTAATTTCATTATTGAATTACTATACTATTCTTGATTTTGATTGTTCTATAGACAACATATCCTCGTACTGGGATGTTTGACTCATTCAAATATCATAGATGATAATCTCGAGGATGTACAATGTTGTTACTTACTGAAATCTTATCACAAAACCGATTCAGTAGATAAATGATTGTACACCTTACACCTTGTTAGCAGCGCATAAATTTATGTTACAAAAGACCCTGATTTGATAGATTTCAGGCTAATATTGAGAGTAATGTCATTTGAGGAATATGAAGGTCTCATGAGAAATTAAACGCACATTTAATTTTCTGTTATGAACAGGTTAATCTGTATTCATTGACACTGATGAGATCAGTAGTCTAAAACTAGATTTCTATAATTAGCAGACTTTTGTTAACTTATCATCACAATCAAACAAATCAGGAATGAATAAAAGTTACAAGTCTACTAGTAAGACGAAAGCTATTCATAACTATAGTTACTGACGAGTAATTTGAGTCATATTGAATTAAGTTTAGGTGGTAACTGAATTCTGTCAACAGATTTCATCGTATTTTCGTCCGATAAAATCAGTTTATTACATACTACTTACAACAACATCAATCAATTAATCGTTTCACAAGTGAGCTACTTGAAAACGAAATGCTCATAAACAAGTTATTTTGTTCAATGTTCACCTTAATCTTCATAAAATGTATTCAATATATAGAGTTCCCTATCTACACCAATAAATCACTAATCAGAAGTGTCATGACTTCAAAAGACCAACAACAAAAAGTATTCAAAATTATTTAAACTAAATTAAATAAGATAACTAGTCAGTTGTAGTTGTTTTTGTTGTGGTTGTGGTTATTGAGATTTTCTATCAGCTGATTGAATTCAATCATGCAGCAGTACCTTTTAAAGAATTACTGCTAAACAAAGTAGTTTGAGGCACCACAACTAAGGCATATTCATGATAGTATGCGGCGTAGAACTAAGAACTTTAGCACAGCACATATCAATGATTTTGAGATGGTGGAGAAAACTTGTAGCTCAGGTGGATGTTGTGGTGGTGTTTTGTTCTCTGAGCTGGTTGTTTTGGTTGTGGAGCTTTCATTGTTCTTCTGAACATCATCAGCACAAACGTGGAGAAATTCGAATGCTTCACTTCTATCTGAAGTTTGTTCTGATGATGTTGTTCAGAAGAACAATGAAAGCTCCACAACCAAAACAACCAGCTCAGAGAACAAAACACCACCACATATCAATGATGTTGTCTGATTATAATTGCTTGTTTCAAATATCTGTATATATAGTTTCAAAGACTTTGATCATTTCACTTTAAAAAAAATAACTGACTACCTTATGAACACACACAAAATTCTCTTGAGCATACAAATTTCGACAGTTTACAATGATAATATGTAATAAACGGCATTGCTTTAACAGATATTCGAATCAAGTGAATTGACGTCTCTAATAAACGGATTATAAGATCTGCCACAATTAATTAGTTTATAAAATTGCATTTCAGTTCATAGTTGTGATGTTGTCAAGTGCATACATAACACATTAAACACTTCATCAAACTTGACATTTCATCATGAATTTTTTGTTAATAAGATAAAATTCCAAAACCAAAACACAACTAACTAACTAGAAAATGATTTTGTCATATAAGTCGTCTGTTAAGCAATTGATTCCATGCATACACACTCATCACAATCTATTCATTGATTGACAAATCAATATTTTGCAAAGTAATCTGCCTGTGCCAACTAGATTCCTTCTATTTTTTTTCGCTATATTTTACCAAAAAACACATACATCGTCTACACGTATGAATACATATACAATCATGAAATATTCAACAAACAATACAATTACGGTATATAATAAAAAAAAAATAGCTTTTGTTTTTACTAACAACCAAATAAAAAAAATGAACAATAGCTTTTGTTAGCATATTTGTAGTAAGTAGTATATTATATATATATATATATATATATATATATATATATATATATATATATATATATATATATTATCAATAAAAGTTATTGGTGATCACAATAAACTATGCAAAATCATAAAATCAAATAACTGCTAACTTATTTTATATTAAAACTTATTTGGCATATTTAAAAAAAATATATTAGTATATTCTTTTTTTTATACAATAATATGATACAGTAATGTTAAAATTCATTTTTTTCTATAATTTTTTTGTGTTAGTTTAGTTTGTTAGTATGTTAATGTACGTTCAGAAAATATTAGTGTATATATAAGTGAGTTTATGTTCAGTTAGAAATGGATGTACTATTTTATTTGATATACAGATATACATATATAGTTAATCTGCTAACTAATGCGCAAATTCCAAAGTGTATTTCACTGAGCATAGTCAGATAATGAATAAAATAGTTTGATATATCAATAGACATAATGATTCATTTCTCGTAGGATGAGGCGATCACGTGTGTGTGTGTGTGTGCACATATGGCAGAAAATTTGATTTATCATTGAATTTTTTTTAATGATAATGTCACTGCTAAGAGTCATAGAGTAGCAGTAGTAGTGATTGTTGTGAATGTACCTACATTCACAATTCATATGTCTTCATAAAGCATAAAACTGACGAAAATGTTCTCATGAAAAATCTATTTGAACTAATAAAATTATTAAACGTCTTTCAATTATAAGTTATTTGTGTAAAATTGAATTTTGCGATACTTTTAAAAAATAGAATACCTTGCATAAATTCATCGCATAATAAATTTACAAAGAGCAAAAATAAATCTTATTAATTTTGTTCTTATTTAGGAGACAACAATGTGAGATGTTCTATGGTTGTGTTTTTAAATGCAGCGAGTAGATAATGTGTTATTCTTAATGATTTTGAATGAGTAAAGGAAATGGAATACTAGTGTGTCATACTTATTTTATGTATTATCCAAATTTGAATTCTATAACAATAAAAGTGATGCTAAGTGTAATCCTTAATATTTTTTGCCAGTGATATTCAAATAAGTTCATTTGTTGTTCTACGTCACGCTTGTGTTAGTTTCGTCACTAGGTACGCTTGAAGCTGTTACGCGTTCACTTTAGTCGATAAACGCGAACGAGACAATGAACTAGCGTCCAGGTAGGCTACCTTGATCCGAAAACGGCAAAACAGAAGTCTTGATAAGCATAGAAGGCATATTCTACAAACACACAGTAAGCAAAATGCAATCAATCACACAACTGTCGTTTATTTATACATCACAGAAACGCTGTTGGGACAGTCACAAAAATAGCACACTAAAATACACAGCAGCCAATCAAAGTCAAGGATTTTCTTGGTGGGAAATGGAATCTCAAGGTCAGCTGATCAGCTAATGCTCGCAAACGTGAAATCAAAAGTAAGGCATTTATCAACCGAGTTCTGGGGATCTAACATACCCAACACTTGTCAGTAGTGTTTGCACATACTTCATTCAATATATATAATGACGCTGAAAACTGTATCCCCCTTCATTATGTGATCTAGTGTTATCTAATTGGGTGTTGAGTTATACTAATCTCTTCATATTATTCAGATGAGAGTTGGTTTCGATCATTAACTATCTCAAATATTTTCTTGACTCATTGCTTTTTGCTTGTATAGTAGTGTACAGCAGTAATTTAGTTTCAGGATACGATGAAAGGTTTATAGTGGTTGTATACCAATAAAAGGAATTTGAAATAATTCAGTCCTTAAAGTTTCTCATACATTTCATTCACAGTTCAAGAGCAGGAACTAATGTTGGTTGCTTCATCTATTAACTTAAATCGATGAATATCTGAATTCAGTAGTCGTTAAAGAAGTAAACAGTATTGAAGTTTTAAAGTCAGTTACTTCCACTGAAATCAATAAATGATATATATGCCGTCCGATGCTGCTAGGTTTTCAATCGTGCTCTTACACTGATCGATTCCTGATTTAAATCAACTCATCAATTTCCACAGCCTTATATTATCAATGAATTTCGATTATGTTTCCAATAATCTTTGATCACTTAAATGTAGCTTGCTGAGTTATTGCTTAATAATGTTATTGATAGGCTATTTT